TTCTAACTTCTAACAGTTCCATAGGTATATCAATTTTTTTTTTTTTTTTTTTTTAATGAGCTTATGTAACTTCATATTCACTTCTTAGTCAATAACTACCTATCTATCTATTCTAATTTATAACATATCTGGATGAACACTGAACAATCTAAAATTCTAAATATAGGAGGGATCTGCACAGTACCTATATATATACTAGAAATAAACCTCGGACATGTATCAGTATCTAGCTCTAATTGTTGAAAATAAATTTTATTTTTAAAAATCTTGTCTTTTAAAAGTGTGTCCAAATCTACTACACGTTCAAAATGACTACARAGGTAAAATATTTTTACATTTATTATTTATAATATTATAATATTTTTTATATTTTTTATTTTTCATTATTTTATTTTCTTTACGTAGACAGAAATATTGTTATACTAGCCTAATACTTACTTTGTATATTTTTGAAAATTTTTATTCTATGAATTAATTGTTACTTATATTATATATAACAATACCAAATAAATTACCCTTAATATTTCGAATATGTTTGGTACATGTTCAATACACTTTCATATTAGGCACTATATAAATACCATATTACCTATTATATTAAACTGATAMTATAATATTGGTTTTATTCAARATATCAGACTATTTAAATAACACGTAGGTAATGCCAATTTCAGCTGATTGTATTTGCTGCTTTGATTGGACATATGGTCATTGCTTACCCGCCCGAGTACAAAAGTTACAACAATAATGACCACTACGACCACTATGCTCATTCACCTGCACCGTATCATTTCGAGTACGGTGTAAAAGATCTCCATACACATGACATCAAAAGCCAAAGCGAAGTGAGCGACGGTCATGGAAATGTCAAAGGATCGTACAGTTTAGTAGAACCCGATGGTTCTACACGCGTCGTCGAGTACACCGCCGATCACGAGCACGGTTTCAACGCAGTAGTCAAGAAAATCGACGCACCCCACCATCACAGTGAACACTCTGACATTGCAGATTACCATCATCACGAATCACTTCATCCATACAAATCATCATCTTACTACAAGTTCTACTGAAATTAAAAATTATTGATGTTACCTATACACAAATTTGTTATAGCGCACCGTCGTTGATATAATGGTATCTAATTAGTATGCATTACCTATTCATTTTGTATGTCGTGTACATTTTTTATTCAATAAAATATTTTAAAACATATTATATAATAAATAATATTGATCAATGTATCTATTACCAATATGTTTAAAATATATTTCACATTAATATCAAAATGTAAAGTTAATATGTAATCCAAAATGTGGTTCAAATTATAAAATTAATCAACTACAAATAATTTATATTTGATCACTCAAAGTTACTTTAAATAAGAATGTATAGTATGAAATTTGATTTAAACTGTAAAGGTCCATTTTTTAATTTTATTGATAAAAGTAGGTAGATTCTTGGAAAAAAATTATTAGTAAAAATATTAAAGTTTTATTCCCAAACGAATTTTTTCAAACAAATTAGTAAGACAAAATTAGACGCGATTACAAATATTGTCCTTAAATTATGAACTAAAAATACAAAATAAATCGCATCCATATCATTACATAATATTATTTACATCGAGTAATGTTACTAATGGGGATGATGGCATCAAAAAACCCCCATTGAACCACTTCTCAACAATTTTATCGTATTTTTTGTTCTTTAATGTAAACATGGTACACGCTGGTACATAGATTTTATATTATTCTTCATTTACCTACTTATGAATCCATGTCAACAATCCATATGTGTGTGTGTGTGTGGTACGATCGTATGTAAATACGTACGTATAATAAAATACTATGATAGATATTCTATTCTATTATTATATACAGATAATAAAAGTTATGGATAAAGTGGTTCATGTTACGAATTCGATTTAGATTCGGTCTATAAGCTTGCATGTATTGTTTTGGGGGCCTTGGATGTAACCCGGCAACCGAGACCGGCAGGTGGCATGTATGCGTGCTTGTGTTTGAACGCGCACAGCTAGGTCTGTTGAAACGTCGAATATTCTACTGGCTAATGGTCTATCAAACAATATAACACGATTAGAATGTATAAAATATTATGAGATTTTTAACTTATTCACTTATTATGACATATTGAATTTTTCAATAATAATATATAATACGTCAAACGTGGCACGAGTGAAGTGCAAACTGCAATTATGTCCTGGTCGGACGACCGTGCCGTGGATGCGGCTCATTGGCAGATCCTCAAAAACCATCTGAAACCTAACGTCTGGCCTACGTCCCGTGAGATGTTAAAGTACAAACAAGAACTCGATAGTTCCAGGTGAGTAATATGAACGTCTGTCGTATCATCATCCACAGAAACGGACGATGTCCGAATCCTTCGGCATCTATACTAGGATGTAGTACACCTATTGTACCTGTGGGTGAGTGTAAATAAATATGACGTAACTACATCATTATGTTTCAGACACGCTGATCTGAATCAACTTGCCAGTTCAATACAAGAAATGAAGAAAAAACTATCCTATTTGAAAAAGACTGCATTAGACGTGAATAAAATCAAAATAGTAGGTAAGTAAAAACCATTGTACCTACATTCCAACTTAAAAAAATATTTCCGCATTTTTTTCTGAAATTCTATTTACAAAAAGTGATTAGCAAGGTCTTTTTTGGAATATAAGCTATACACTATAGGTATACAATACTTTTTTGCGAGTATTTAGAGCTTAAAAAAAAATTATAAAAATTATCATATGAAAGAATTTGCGTTAATTGTGGTAAGAATTAATAAATTACTGAAATTACCTTTTCTGTGACAAATTACTACAATAATCTCAATAAAATGTGAACATTTTTATCTTGATTAGTTTAGATGTCTTCAATCTTTACTCTAATAAATAATTTTATAACACACACTAAAGTATAACGTGAAACTAAAGTTCAAACACTTTTTAATATATATGTTATAGCCAGGGCTCAGATTTCATAACATTTTCATAGTTATAGGACACAGATAAAAATAGCAGAGTAAACTCTAAGTTTCTGCATCTTCATGTTTTGTTTTGTTTTTTTTTTTTTGCTAAGTAATTTGCATAAAATAACATTTTATTTTGTATATTCATGAATCTATTTTATATTATGTGTTATGACATATGAAATATAAAAAAGGCTGTCATTTATTTGAAATATATTTTGTTTGAATCCACGAAAAAATACCTACATTGTTATTCATATTAAAATCTATTTTAAAGTAGTGTAGGGAATTGGTCTATCAAATAGTAAACAATTATGACTACATATATATATTAATATATTGTGTTTAATATTCTGTTGTACATTCGTACGCAATTTTTTAAATTTTGAATAGAATAAATTTTAATTTTTGCTATTTTTTTTATGTCTTAAGGACATATTATAGCGTTTATTTTAAGATTTATTAGATCATATTATAGCGCATAATTCAGTTATTTTTAGTGCTTTAAAATCCGAGCCCTGGTTATAACTCTTATAACCAAATTTAGCAGGTTAAAATAATATTTTTTTGTTTTAAGAGTTATAAGTTAACTAACAATTTTCCATTTATGTAGGTATTAATTAATAAAATTATTTTATTTTTGCAAAGTTAAGTATTTAAAATACTTTCATAAAATATGGATGAATAATATTTTTTTGGTAATTTAAAAAATTTGTTGAATACAATATTTTTGTAGTTTATTATAAATTAATGCTATTAATTGTAATAAAATTGATTTATTTTAGGGTTTGAAAATTTTCGAAATGATATAAAAACATTTGAGTCRAAACTGTCAAAATTAAAAGAAGGATGCTCAAAAAAGTGAGTGAAAGTCAACTGAAATGTGTATGTATTATAAATTGTTAGCGTATTACATAGTACTAAGAGAATTAATATTTTTTAAGATTACGTGAAGAGAGCCTTAAGCAATCCGCGCTGTTGGAGGAAATCGAACGGGTAAAGCAATTAACACTACATGACGTAGTTTCAAAGTCACAAGCCGATACTTTTACTAAAAAAAAGAAGGAAACCAAAACCATCAAGAGAGTTCCAATTTCAAAAAATACTTACTCCTCAAAAGTACAAACATATTATGTTAAATACGTATATTATGTGTATATATTATGGTAATAATAAAGTATTATGTTATATTCCATTATGTTTAGGAAATAGCAGATTTCCACGATTTCTGTGCACGTAACTATGGTCTTACGGGAGGTTGGTCTAGCAAAGATCATGAAACATTTTTAAAGATTCGTTCCAAACATTTCAATGATACGGATTTTATCGATCATGTTGTACAATCAATGCCACGTAATACTTTATAAATACTTGTTTGAAATATGAATATTACTGTACACGTATTTACTATGTTACTTAACTTAATGTATTGATTAAAAGATAAATATTATTAATAAATAAAAGAACTCAAAACTATAAATTACCATATTTAAAATTAAAACCAACACTCATAATATTTGAACAAATAACTTTATATATACAACGTGATTTTACTCATTTAAGGATACTTAAGCTTTAATATACTGCAAATCCTAATCAATATAATACAATTCGTTATGTAATTTTGTTATAAGACCTTTGCGGAATTTAAAAAACAAGTATAATATACGAACCAGTGTTGGGTTAAACCTGATTTTTTAGTGTTGAACCGAAGATAATATATCGGATATCATGATCCCAAATCAAACCAAACTATTAATTTTTTGTCAGTCTAAAATTCGAACTCAGCATTTTATTTTATTCCATATAMCTAACCGTAATAATATAGAAATAATAATAATTAGTCTATCACTATTAATAAGATACTACTATTTAAATTACTATGAAATAGAGAAAATTTATTTTGGATATTGTTTGATTATAAATATTTTCAAGTTTAACTTTTCGAATATTTTGATCCATCGCTAGTATAAATATATTGCTATATACATTATACATATTCATCTATGTTTTTAAATATTTAAAGACGTATTTTAGTTTAAAAGATATGATTGTACAAACAACACACCTAAAAACAATCGTTCTAAATGTAATTCAAAACAAGAATATTAYTGTATAATAATTCTAATGAATCTTATCCCGAATAATTTTTGCTTGAGTGATATTTATCACTTGCATATATAATTTTACATGCAGTTAATTAATATAAGCCATAATTATTTCAACGCACTAACTCTTTTAAGTTGCGATAGTCATCTAAAAGGCATACTCAATAGTTAAACTGAGAATACTAGTTAACAAAGCTATAAAAAATCCTGTACCTAGTAGTTATTATTTATTTTTTTTAGAGTAGAATTACTTTAATTAATTAACCGGTAATCCTTTATCACAATGCAAATTACTATTATACATTCAGATAACAAATTTACATAATATAACTGTATTATATTATAGCACTATTCTCATAATTAAAACATTGTTCATAATAGTTCGTAGATGTTAAGATAATATTGATAATTTATTATTTTTATGATAATAATAGTTCTTTCATTATGTTTTTATGGTTTTAAAAACACTTCAGATATAACCGAGGACGCTGCACGTGAACATGAAAACTGGTTCGTAAAATTTGAAGAACTTAAAACTAAACAAAAAGAAGCAATAATGAAGTGGAAAAAGGAAAAGAAAAATGATTTTGTGCTTGATTCTGGACCAAAGAATTGTGACACGTATAGGAAATGTACAGATAATAATCCAGAAATTACACAGAAAGTAAGATTCGTTTAAAATTAATATTCTTATGTAAAAGTTATACATACTCGTACGCTACGCCTAATTTATGTTTTTAATATAAAGGTTAGGTTTTATTAATTTTCAATATAATTTAATAAATCAATTACTTATATACTAGTATAAGACTAAAAACATAAACTATTATATGTTTGCGTATGATTAATTTGAAAGATTTGTTATTTGGTATTTATTATTATTATACTAGTTGTGTAGTCGTGTCTTACACATACAAAAAATTCACGTATCATAATATTTAATATTACAATTTAATGCTAAACTCAAAAATACAAAAATCAATATAAATCATAAATTTTTTATAACTATTGTAGGTAGTAGCAATTTAAATTTAACAAATATGTATTTGTTGCGTTCGTCGTATTTAAATTTAATATAACATCGCAATTTTTTTTAAAGGTTGCCATTTTTTTCAACAAGTGAAACAAATTAAAATTTTTAATTATCTAGTTATCTACCACTATTTGTTTAAGTACACCATTTATATTATTACATGCAGTGTATGTAATAATATATTTTATAATAATATTATTCTTTTATTATTTCTTCATTGGGAAATTGTATGGTTTTCTTCGTTAGAAAATACTTTACTTTCCATATAAAAGGCATGTATACAATATATTATGTTTACAGCATATTTATTAAATATAAATTCTAAACTAAATTAAAGTTGAATTAAGAGTTAAATATATATAATTAATAATTAAATAAAGAATTGTAATAGAGAAATATGTCTTCAAACAACTAAACATACTACATCTGTTATTTTAATGAGTGATTAAATTATTTAAAAATTAAAATATTCTACCAAAATTACAGAATGATTATTGAATACGAAAATGCAATTTTACCATTGTTTCAAAATTAATTATAATAATTATATTCACTATTGCCTTGTACTGAAATAATCAAAGGCCAGCTTTTAAGTATCGCCTTATCACTTTTTATGTATTTGTCCGTTTATTTGATAATAATTTATATTCTATATATTTTATTTGAAAATTGAACGGCGAATCGTATAGGCAATGGAAGTACATTGTTACTGTGTTAAGGACATAATAATTTTAATAAAATGAACTTTCTACAAATGGCTTCCCTTTATATATTATATTAAAATTTAATACATTTTTTACTCTATCATTTCATTGTTTGGTGTTTACACACGTATATTTCTGATGTTCAATAATTACAATAAAATGCGAATGTATTGTATTAATAATAGACCTAATAAAATTATATGTGAAAAATAATGTAACACTTTTATATTTTCTCTCTGAATCATTATAATAGGTGTCGTAAAAATATTTTAAACTTGATAAAATATTTATTTAAAATCTATACAGCATAATATTACATTTTAAATAATTACTATCAATATAATTTAATAAATTAAATATACAGACATTAAAAATGTAATCTCAATAAGCTATGCCACTTAATAGTGAATAGATAATGCTATAATGTTATTATAAATTACATAATATAACTAAAATAATTAAAATCAACGATTTTCGTGAATATGTCATGCCATAAGTAATTTGATTAGAGTCTAGAGAATTTACTATTGTAACAATATAACTATTAGATTTCTTCTCTAACGATTTAAAATACATATACATGTGATAATATTATTTAGGATGGTTTGTTAATAAATGTATTGTATAATAACATGACGTACACTATTACCGAAACAAAATAATATAATTAATAATATTTTTTTTTTACTATTTACTTAAATAAATTATACCATAGTGATTATTTTTCTACTTTTTAGTGTTTCAGTGATAATTTAGAAAAACAAATAAATGTAAATCACGATATCAATAGATCTCAAATTGAAATATTTGAATCGAAAAAACTCGATAACTGTGGCACTGCTTTACTAAAGCGTTTCAGGTAACAGTAAATAATAACAAACAAATCAATTGAATCAAAAAACACAATCAATTTGTTAAATACYTAATTACATGAATTTCTAGAGAAAAAGATAAAAAATATATAGAGTCTAAAAAAATAAATAAACAACAATTGGAGTGTCAACGTAAATCAGACCCATTTACAATAGTTACATTGCACGGGAATCCAGAAAAATATGCTGAAATTGAATCACTAGAAAAATTTCCAAATGTACACTTAAGTATTTACGGTGCGCATAACCAAGACGTGTATGTATAAAAATATATTGGATACCTATAAATAATAATATATACATCGACGTGCACAAATGAAATATAAACAAAATTTAAAACTAACTGAATTTAATGTATATTTTTTTACAGGAAAGTGGTGTTAAAGTACCAATAGACTTGAAAATATTGTGCRGATACTTATTTTTGTTTAGTGTTATAGTATTATTATTACAGTATACAAACTTGAATAATTGTAAACAAAAATTATTTATCAAATACAAACTAGAATTTCCTATAATATCATGTTCAAACTTCAAACAATATTTAATAGATCAGCTGTAACTGCATGTCTGCATAACACACGGGTGCCTTTTGAGAGAAATGATAAGCCAACAACTTACACAGTTACACTTGGTTTGTATTGAAGATTACAGAGAAGATTACTTGCGGCCTCAGCAGCTGATGATGAATATGATAAAAAAATATAAATACACTTATTATAATACATTAATATTGTGTACATACCTAACCTAATTGGTACCTATAATATTATAATCCTAATTTTGATTGTTATTACTCAATATAATTATTAATTTTATTGGGCTTATAATATTTAGGTTACTATACTTAGGTAAGTAGGTAGGTACAATGTCAGCATTTTTTAGAACTTACAGACAGTTTTAAATAAATTTTAAAAATATACATATAGCCGTTAAAATTGCAAACTATATATTCAATTATAATTACTATAAATATTTACAGTTATCGATGTAGTGATGATACATTACGAATAACCCAGTAGGTAGCGTATTTTTTGAGTAGATGTGATTAAAGCGATATATTTGCCCCTTTGACCATTCTGTTRTATTATCACCTGTATAAATATTGAATAAACAATACAACTGATTTATAACTAATAATATACTTATATAAATACATAATGATATGCATTAACAAATCTGATAATACAAATATACAGCGTRCATATTTTCATTTGATAGTTTGAAAAAAGCCAGGACTAGTGCCATCTCAGAACCAATACGAAGAAAGGTAGATTAGTATTATATTAAATAAGCTATTACATGATAACTATTTATAAGTAGTTATAAGATTTAAATTTAAATTTTGATAGATTGATTTTTGTAATGTTCTGTTCACTATTCGTTGAACATTGAAAATAATTTAGTTTCACGTTATAACCAACAAACTTACATAAAAAAAATCAGGAAGTTACAATTTTTATCATAAATAACAAAATTATTTAAATAAATAACGTAAGATACCTATCTAGTCTTTACATATTATTTATTATCCTTAGCTTTAACAAAATCCTAAAGATTTCACTACTCACTACTAAGTATCTAATCATTTGATAAGATTACTTCAAACATCATCAATATACTTTTGATATAAAAATATTATTATAAAGCATGCATTTATATGTATGAAGTAGGTAGCTATTAAAAAAATAAATGTAAAAATAATTACTTGGTGTTCACCACATTCAACACGTTATTGGTAGGTACCGTTACATTTGTATAGGTACATACGTATATCGTTCTAAACACCATTTTGTCCAATTTTCTGTAGAAGTTGAATTATTCAAAATGTCACTATTCACATTTTTGTATGTTATAAGGTAAGATACAAGTTTATCACTGGGAATAAATGTTGAGACATGGTATATAATCCTAAAAATATAAAATATTTTTTGTATAAATTATCGTCTTCATATAATAATAAAATAACGTATCTATTTAAATTATAAAACTACGTATTACGTTCAGTCGAATTTTTTCATATGAAATACTCTTATAACGAATTTATTATCATAGGTCAGAGGTTCCCAAACTTTTCATAYTCATGGCGCCTTTTTAGAACTGAAGTTTTCTCATGGCACCCTTAATAAAATTTACGACCTTTTTTTCATCGTAAAATATCGTTGTTTATTTTTAGACCAGATAGCATAGTGGGAAGCGAGGCACAGCCGAGGCTCTCCTGACAACACACCGCGGCGCACAGTTTGGGAACCTCTGTCATAGGTAACTTTAATTTTCCAGCTACGTGTAGCAATGTATCAATTTTTGCATTATCTTGAATACATATATTATTTTTATTAACTTAGTAGCTGTCCTACCGTCTGACGTTTAACGTGTCAAAGAGTAGTTTTTTATACAATTATATACAAAAAAATGTATACATTATTATATAATAATTATATAACATTTTTTATTTTGCGATATTAAGAAAATAAACATTAAAAATTGATATCTATAAAAATATAATTATTTTTTATTTATATGCATATAAAAAAAAAGTTTTAGTCAGCCCAAAATCATTAAATTATATGAAAAATAATCTAAAATCTATTTTTGCGAAAATATTGATATATTATTGTGTTCTTAATTTCTTATATGATTTTATTATTTTGTGTAGTATACATAGTTATACGATCATTTGAATTGCAGTTTTACCTGTTGTTTTCCGAGGTACTTCAACGTGAGCGATTTTTTTTTAATTCGTATTTTGCATCATCGTTACCAATGGTTGAATTGTTACCGTAAAAGAAATAGTTGATCGGATACAGGTTGTTATCATTGACCTTCAAATTTTTCTTTGGTAAAACGAGTGACTGCTTAGAAACAGTGCTCGTACCTATTGTTATATTAATATATTAATATTGTTATATTCTGTGCTCGTACTAAGCATCAACGGCGCAACTTCAAAACTGTTGACTGGGATAACGTCGTTTTCCACAGACCTGTTGGCGTTCATTCGCAGTATTATAGTGGTCAAATCGTTCTTCATCTCTTCTGGTGTCTGTGAGATTCTGAATTAGTTTAGCTGGACGATCTGTAACGTGATCGGTAACAGTGGTTCGATATGTGGTCGCTACTAGAATCTCACTATTGTAGAGTTCCGTCTGTCCATCTACACTTTTCGTAAGATTGACGGTAACAACTGAAACCGTAATGTTGTTATCCGCCCGACCAGATCGGACAAACAAGAGCAGTATAATCATCTYGATCTTCGGAATGCATTTGATTAATTGTTGTCGTGCATCGTATTCAGGCCTACGATATGTATACACAATATTCTGATAATAATATTGGTTTAGCAAAATAATCAAACTAATATTATATAATTATTCTATTTAAGAATAATAAAATAGTTGTGAATATTTAATAAAAAATATAAATTTATTTTGTATTATTTTCATGTTATTATGGCAATGCTTTGAAAACGTAATATTAATCAATGCAGTTTTAATATAATATGATATGTTTGAAATAAAGATTTAAATTAAATGTTAAGATGACGTAACACTAGTATTTGTTGTCTCCATCTTAGAAGTGCGTTACATACCAAATTTACACTAAGCAGAATAAATTTAGCTTTTTTTAGTTTAAATGTTTGAAAATTATGTTGAATCGATCATGAAACTTGATGCTAAGAACATTATCTATTTTTGAACATAGGTTTTTTTTATAATTAAGTTTTTAAGTGAATTATGATACATTTTTAATTTACGTCATATAATTTATGTAAAACTTGCTAAAAAATGGAACGATCATAAAAAAAACCCATATCCATAATGTTCTTATAATCAAATTTCATACTAGGTCTTTTCACTCAAATGTTTTAACTAACGAATTTAAAGTGATCTTCAGAGCGTAAGTTTACTATATTTCGTACTTGTTAAGCAGAGACAACGAATGCCAGTTTTATGTCTTCTTAAAGTTACCATTAAAATGAGTATACTAATTTCCCAATCGTATTCTAAGCAATTAATACAATATAGTACTAGAAAACATTTTATAAATATAATAATTATTAATAATTGTAATAATATTACACACTAGCAATATATTATATTTTAATAAATAAGTATTCCCGAATTAGAACATCTAATTATTGATGTAGGTATTTTTAAATAAACCCATTTTTGATACCGAATAATTGAACGAATATCTCACCGATATAATTAATTAATTGATAATATTATACTATAACTGCAGGCGATCGTCATGAGTATGTCTATCAGATATATTTTCATCACGCTACCACAGTGTCATTGACATAGGTAAGATATTTAAAAGATGTATTTATACTAAAATAATTTAGTAGTCACTTAAAAAGCAGTGTACATTATAAATGTATAACTATTAAGTTATTAATTTATTATAATATATCCACGAGTCACGTAATGGCATTGATCCATAATACAATTATAAGTGTTAATATAAAACTTTGACTTAAAAATCAATACAATTATTATATTTTTAACATTTTTCTAGTAGTTATAAATATTTACTCACATAATTGATTAATTAGTGTCTTATGAAAATTGTATCATAAAAATTGTATAATTTTTCAACAAATAATCCAGTCAAAGTACTAGTCTAAATGGCAAATATTTTATTTACTTGGTTTATTTTATTACTAACAGATAATAAATAAATATAAAAACATATAATGAATAATTTCCACCCACTCTGTATTAACTATATCTACCATAATATAACCGTAATTTTGGGTCATTAAAAATATTACAGTACCGCTTCGTATGGTGTATTCAGAAATGTATACATTATATAAAAAGACGATTAGCGAGTATCGATAATGTCCATTATAAATACTGTTATATTTTTTAAACAACAAAATAGTCTTATAATGTTTAGGTATAGTTCTACACAATTTTAAATTTTGTGGCCATGGAAAAGATATCATTACATGGATATTATATGATCGGTAATTTGTGATTTGTGCATTCTATAAAAAATATATAATAATCCAAGTCTTCTCATATTTTAAGAAAATAGGAAGGTATTTGCTAATATAATTGCATCAACAATATATTACATAGGCTCTACTTATAGATTGTCTCACTTACCTACTAGATATAATTATAGGTACAACTATAWTTCATCTATAATTTCGAATTATTTCACTCGATTTATGTTTTTAATAAGTTGTTGACATTTAAAATTATTGTCTTAGTATATTGTTTAAAATAGTCAGAAAATGACACATACTTAACGTCAGAATAATTAATTTGTGTTACTTGACTTAGAGTAATTGTTAATAATCTGTACTTATAAAACAGTAAGCTGACTAACTGATCTATCAACGCACAGCTCAAACTATTGGACAGATAGGGCTGCAATTTGGCATACTGCAATAAATAAATAAAGCTAATAAATAATATGACGTTGGCATCCGCTAAACATTTTTTAAAACGCTTTTTTTTTGTTCAGATTTTTTTTTTTGAATACATTTTAAATTTTTTGAGACATTTTCGACCTCAATATAAATATTACATAATAGTCATAGTACTACACGTAATATACCT